CTGTTATTTTGTGGGTCAAAAGCTGAAAAGTTTGGGAACCACTGCACTTTGGTTCCCAAAGTTGAGCTTGGGACCCAATTATGGGTCATAAAGCACCTTGGATAATCTCCAGAAATCAATGTAAAGTAATAAAAATAATTGCTGCTGTAATATTTTTCCTACAGTTATTACAAAAACACAAAATAAGTAAAAATAAGTTTTTATATGTGTGTACAAGCTGTTTAGATCTTCAAAAAGCCTGTGTTTTTAGGGTTATTAATGGAGTTCATGTACTCAGACCAGTAATATTTGGGGTCACAAGTTTTTGCCATGRATATTTTGTGGGTCAGAAGATAAAAAGTTTGGGAACCTCTGTTCTAGATGATTCTAGGTGATTAAAATATAATATATGTTGAGATGAATTCAGATGTAAGATATTGCACTTTTGTCCTACACTTAGTAAAATACGGGCCTTRAAATTAAACGATTAAGTTTAATAACCAACAATAAAAACATGTAAGTAGAGTTGAAAAAGATTATTAATTATTTTTGTTTGTAAATGAATTTTCAGTGGCCCTCAAAGGGCCAGTTGTAATTACCTTCAAYGTTTTGTGTTTAACTTCGAATAAACAGAAAACATCATGTTCTCAGTGTCACTGCTAGTGCAACACTAACAAACAGTAACTGAGCTCTACGTGGTTTTTCCTGTATATACACAGCGTTAACACGTCCTCTTTCAAACACTGAAATGTACTACGTGAACTACTGACTAAATGTGAAATAAATAATACAGAAATACTATCAAAAGTAAAAGTAAGAGCGTTTTACTAATTGTTTAGTTGTGGTAAGTCTTGAATTCTAAACTCTCCCACTTTCTGACAGGGAATTCCCATGCATAATCAACGTGCATTATGGGAGATGCAGTTTATGGTCAGTGTTGGCTTTAAAGCAGCTTATTTTCAGACATTAATACTGAGCTATCCAACTAAATTGCTCAGTGGGCTACAGTTACCTATTAAATGTTTATTTTGTTATATTGAAGCATAAATTCAAAGTTTACCATTGATATAAAAGCTATTTTAATTTTTAATTGAGTAAAATAAAAAAAATAAAAATAAAAATCAGCGGGCCAAACAAAAGTCACCCGAGCGCCACATTTGGCCTGCGGGCCTTGACTTTGACACGTCTTTTGTCTTTGGTTAGAAAGCTGAACACTATGATGGTAATAAGTGGTAAAAGTAATGAAAAGTTAACTCAAACCTTCTCGTTAATCGTCTTCATATCCAGGCCTCGCGCTCTGATGTTGAGGTCTCCCAGCGCCCGCTTGTTTGCTGCGTTTTTTCGATTAAAGTCATCCTTCTTCGCAGCTATGAGGCGCTCAGTTCGGCGCCGGGTGTCCGCAGACTGGCTGACCGTGCTGGGCCTGGTGGTCGTGGATTCGTTAGCCCGTCGCTCCGCATCACGAGACTGGTTGTAGGAGCTCCGGATGCTGTCGTACGCACCTGAAGAAAAAGACAGAAGAGTCTGTCTGAGCTTTGGGATTGGATAAACACATTTCAAGTTTCTTTTTTGTCTTTTTGTCTCATTGTCTCACCTAAAAAGTTGGAGTTTTTAAGGATGTTAAGCTGGTTGTGCAGCTGCTCTGAAGTGAGGTTCAGCTCTTTAGCCTCCCTCTCCAGAGCACTCAGCTCTTTGCTGGCCACAGAGTTCCTGTCCTGGACATTCGTTAAGTCTCCTTCCACACGGTTTAAGGTCTCGGTCGTCTCACCAATCTGTGCCCTATAGGACAAGACAAGATGTGACTAGTTGAGGTAAATATTATCTTCACAAAGCAGATTCTTCAATCGACGACATATAAAGAGGACAGCCGTACCTAAGATCTTCAATTAGCTCCATTAAAGTAGCAACAGCTGCAGCAGTGGCGTTGCGAGCGTTCACGATGCCCTGAGCTTGTGCCAGTTTGTCCTCCAAGTCTTTGAAGATTTTCTCATAAGGCCCAGTAAGTCCAGTGGTCTGRATCTCATGGGCACGCTCTGCAAGAGTTTTGGTGCGAACCGCTAAGTCCTGGTTAGGGAAGAAAAATCATGACAATAAACGCTGGGAATGACTCATACTGATTCAGTTCATTTTGTGTTTGCTGAATGAGGATAAACTTCCTCTTTTTTTCTGTCAAAGCTGCACCTGCACAATTCGATTCCAGTCCCCGAAGCACTGATGACAGGGCTGACAGTTGGGGAACACGCCTGCAAAGCCTCTGGCACACTGGTCACAGCGGACACCTGACACTCCCTGCTGGCAGACGCAGTGACCAGTCACCCGGTGGCACTGAGAGGTCTCGATCCCCCGCCAGTCGCAGTCACAAGCTAGAGAGAGAAAACAGGAGAGCTGTGAATCTGGAACAAACCAAGAAATTAGATTTTATTATATTTATTAATTTTAGCTAGACTTCTGCCAGTTTTAGTGTTTCGCTACAGCTCTTCTTGTTTCGTTTTTTTAGCTACAGTTCTTCTGGTTTAATTGTTAGCTTATGTTCTGCTGGTTTCGTTTTTAACTGGGTCCCTCCATCAGTTTGGGGTTCCCAGACTCCTGGTCTAAAAAATCTTGACATTTCTGACCTCGGCACTGTGTCCTGGGATTGCCCCAGTAGTTGTCCTGACAATCTGTGCAGGTCTTCCCTCCAAAACCTTCACGACATTGACACTGGCCGGTAAACTGCAAGACAGGAAAAAAAAAAAGAAACACAACTACAATGGATCAGTTCTGTAAAATTTAAATGTTCACATTGTAAAAATCCAAATACAGAAAAATCTTCGATTTGTTTCTAAAGGTTTTGGACATGTTGGAAAATAGAATTAATTGTAAAATTTTGGGGGGAGTGGGTTGTATTTTAATTATTTACTGTTATAAATGATTAGTGAAAAAAATAAAATCTGTGAAATAATATAGTTTCTCAAAAATTTAAAAAATCTACCACTCTCAGCTTCTTACACTATGAAATTGGGATAAAAACATCACATTGTCCTCACTTTTAGGCTTAATTTAGTTTAATTAATCCTCAATTACAAACTAGATTATATGATTTAAATGTGGCTGGATGATTATTAAATTTTTTTGTGGAACAAAAATCACAGAGCACATTTTTATTACTGACTTCAAATGAGTGTGCTCCATTCCACATTTTTCTTACTTCGTTACAGGAGGACGTTACAGAGTTGCTGGGATTACAGCTGCATGCTTCACAGCCCCTCCCACTGGCCAGGTTCCAGTGGTTGGGGGCGCAGTGGTCGCACATCAGACCTACAACATTTGGCAGACACTGACACTGGCCTGAGGCTCGCTGGCACACGCAGTCCTCACGCTCTATGCACTGAGTGCGCTCGGTGCCCAGGAAGTTGCACGTGCACTCTAAAACAAAACAACAAAAACAAACGTATCAAACGGTTCTCAACAGAGTATTTTCTGACTTTATTCACAAAAAAACTTTACTAACTCCTGCAGTTGCGTCGAGAAGCATCCCCAAAATATCCGCTTTTGCAGATGCCGCAGCTAGGACCCTCTGTGTTGTACAGGCATTTCCTGCACTCTCCAGTCTGCCTGTCACAAGCATCGATGTCTGACATGTCGATGTTGTTGTTGCACTGACAGGGCTGGCAGCGCCCTCCTGGCTGAGAGGGGTTTCCATAATAACCGGGGGCGCATTCCTCACACCGGGCACCTGTGTAAGGAAAATTATAGGAAAAAAAGAGTTACAGTATCATAATGGCACAAACACTTCCATTTATATTGGAAAATGTTTCTTCAACTTGATTTTATGGTTTAAAGGGATCCCCGATTAGTTGTAACATTAGACTTTATTTGAAAAACGTAAATTTTAACTGTAAAGTAAAGACTGTAAAAATAATGTAGGCTGTTCAGTTTTTATCATTTTTAAACTAAAAGTTTAAAAATATATTACACGGACGGGATCATTTTATTTACATGCAAAGCATTCTGGGTAAATGATGACGTGGATAGGTCCTCGGTGCGAGGCTGCTAGCGAGCTATATCCACCCTGAAGGTTAATCTTGGACAATATCTGATGATCGACTCTTTTAAATGAAACCAGAGAGCGTTGACAGAGAGGAGAAGGTAGAAATGACTCAGCCTGGAACTGAAAATATGGATGGAGGACAACAGAGCTGCTTCATGGAAGAACAACCTCAGATTAGCCTGTTAGCCCTTGTGCTAGTGCTGACGCTATATTGCCTTACATGCAGTGGCGGCTGGTCAATAGGGTGCGCTAGGGCGCCGCTCCACCACTACTCTTGGTAAACAAAAAAATAATGCACTTTTCACCTTTAGTTCTGGTTTTGCTTTTTTAATTTATTTGTGTTAATTTTAGCTTCCTTCAGCTTCTTTTCTGCTAATTTTAGATTTTCTGCTTTTTCAGCTATCTTTTTGCTCTTTTTGGCTATTCTAATGGATTTTTTTTTTTACATTTTTCAGCTAACTTAAGCTTTTTATGCTTCTTTCAGCTGTTTTCTGTTATTTCAGCTACTTTTAGGTATTCCAGCTAACTCTAGCTTTTTTCTATTAAATTCACATTTTCTGATCATTTTAGCTTCTTACTGCTTAAATCAGCAAACATGCTATTTCTGATTCTTTGTGCTACATTCAGCTACTTTTTAGCTACTTTTCTGCTTATTTTATCTTTTTCAGTTATTTCACAACAAATTACAAAATCTTTGGAAATCATTCTCTCTGCAAAAATCTTTCAGCATCAAGCATTCACRATGATTTTCACAGAAAATGTAAATTGTCTAGCAACAGAATGATTCTGGGTCAGATTACTTGTTTTAAGATTATTTGCTCAGACCTGGTTCAAATTTTAATCATTCTGTGACTTTAGGTGTAGTAATGTGGCTCTGTGGGAACAACAAACTGAGTGGAAGAAAAAAAAAACCCTGATCAGATTTTGAACCAGGTCTCATGTGGAAGTGCACTGTGGCACAGCAGCACTGCTAACACCATGCATGGGTAGGACTGGTGAGGAGGAGCTTAGGCTTGGTGAATTAAAAATATCTTATAAAATATGTAGGAAAGGGAGGAGGGCATGGGAGGGGGGTGGGGGACCATTATTACTCACGCTTAAAAATGGTCGCCCCGGAGCGTTTAACAATCCCTGTGCCAGGAGTATGCTCGTTATCGTTCACCAGAGTCCAAAAAGAAACATCATTATTATCTCATTTGTCTTGACTCATGAGTTAAATTATTAGTTAGTCTAAAACAATATCGTTGGCTAAATAAAACAGAATGTATACGTAGTTAATCTCAAACTCTTCTTAACTCAGATGCATTTGGTAAAAATGTTTACACAAAATCCCAAAAATAAACTGAACCATTATGAGAACCAAAATGAAATTTAATGTAATTTAGGATAAAACTGTTATAATAGTCAAACAAAGATTTGGTGCTTAAATTTTAAATTACTGCAGCTTCTTTGTGTGCATACATATAATGTAAAACTGTAAATAAAACTCATTTAGTTGATCCACATCAATACCATTTTAAGTGAAAAATTTATGAAGGCCATCAATAATCTTTTTATTTATTTGTTTGATATCTAGTAACCTAGTAGGGGTCTCTGCAGTACATGTTGTCTTGTGGGCGTAGATGGCCCTACCCGTGACTGGCGAGGTTTTGGTGWGGGCGGAGTTGACCCTAATCATGATTGGTGTAGTTGGTGCGTGGGCGGAGTTTACCCTAAACGTGATTGGTCGGATTGACTTGTCTTGTGGGGCAACTTAAGAGGAAATAATGGTAATAGTATAATAATATGATTTATTGACTGTCTATGTACAGTTTAAAACAGAACGACTCAAATAAAGATTATTGTGAACATGTAAACATAATTTGTTGACTTCAAATTTCATGTGGCAAGCACCTTCCTGTCTCGAACTATGACTAAAATTTATATTCATATTGATTTTTAGCAATCTTTTTACAGGCTGTTTAGGGATGTTTTAACTGAGCCAGATTGTTACACRTCCCTCCATATGTACGGAGTTCAAATTTCATGCAGCTAGCACTTTCCTTTCTCAAGTTATGACTAAAATTTATCTTAAAAAACGGCGCTCCCTGCCCGATTTGACCAAACTACTCCCCGCTGCCCCCCAGCTTCTTCAAACCCCACAGTCAATCTGACCAATCATATGTTGGGCCAACTCCTCCCACAAAATACGCAGAGACCCCCTTCTCGATGAAACACAGTCATGCCACAGTTTCAACGTTTTATCAGATGGTTTAAGTTAAAGCACGTTTTCGTTCACTCAGTTTAGACGTCATCAGTCAGGTTTACCTGTGTATCCTTGGTTGCAGTTGCAGATAATTTGTCGGTTACGATTATCCTGGTAACAAGACGTGGCAAAGTGGCGCCCACTGTGGGGCCCATCTGGACAGGGGCATGGGCGGCACTGACTGCCTGATGTCACGCCCAAAACCGGGTTACCGTAATAACCATTGGCACACCTACAAGAAATGACAAAGAGAGTAATGTTCACATTTAAATGAGCAACTCGAGAAATACAGTATGTTTTATTAATTCATTATTCTTTAAAAATTTATTAATATTGACCACTAACTGTTATTTTTCTGTTGATATTTGGACTATGATTTAACATTATTTTTAAAATTACAAATGACAACTACAAAGAAAAGATAATAACATAAAATAAACTATTTTGCTTACAATTCAAAGTAACTATTTTTTTAAATAGCTTATATTGAACGTAACAACAGAAGGTAACAAAAACATTACAGATATACTAATCAAAGGAGTGGGCAGAATTATATGCTGATATAAACCCATTCCTTCTCCTGCAGCTTTATTCCCATCACTTGTTATTCATCAAGAAAATTATTAATTTCTTACAAAATAATGCATCCATCTAAATAAATGAATGAATATTTAAAAAAAATTACTTGTGTCAAAATACTTGGCCAATAAACCTGATTCTGATATA